AATAATTAGTGGATTCTGTGAAGACACACACCCTTCCAAACTTCTTGAATCTGGATGCGCAGTTTGTGGTCAGCTAACAAAATTATCGGACATGTTAAAACGATCTGATACCACAAATAACTTGGAGCCATTGATTCGAGAAGGGGTTTCCCGAATAGAAAGAAAATCTGAACATGATGAAATCCATGAAATCTCAGGGCCTGTAATTGATGATGACTGTAAATATATATGCAATACTTGCAATAAAAGTCTAGACACACTTCAGTCACCCAGTGCCAACTGACTATTAGTCATGCAAACTCCACGTAAGTTACATGACTAAATGTCATGGACCATATCTATATTCTAGATATATATGGGTCCTAGAAAGCCCTGAAATCTAAAATATATTTTTGACACATGGACCCTGAAATGTCACACAAAAATTATAATGTCTGTGTCACACCACCAAAATATATTTTGCAAGTGAAATGCAGTAAGGATATATTTTCAGTGAGTGGACCCTGAAATGTCACTGTCACAACTTAGAAATATATTTTTGCCCTGGCTTTGCCTTAGGATATATTTTGTGAAACAGATGTGGTAAGGATATATTTTTCTGGTCTGTAGGGGTGTCAGGGGTCCTAGTTTCAGCAAAAAACTTGTGATTTTTTCTTCTGTCTGGAGTATATATTCTGGAAGATTCTGCAATGACTTCCAGGGGTTTTGGCACTATGTCTAGCTGTGCTCCCAGTATGTATGTAGCAATAAGGGGCATCAATAGCATCTGTGATATACCTGAGTTGCTTAAGTATCATCCACTTCCAATCACACTATGAATACAGTTCACATTACAGATTCATTCATTCTCCTTCAACAATTTTGGGCCTCAATGACATGTATGATTCACCTTGAAGCTATTCAGTCCAAGATTCCTGAGTTGCTTAAGTACTATCCACTTTGACACTATAGATACAGTTCGCACTATGGAATTTTTTAGCTGCTTAGAAATCCCCTCCACTTCTGCCTCTACTTCAGCTCCAAGATCTCCATTTGCACCTTATCTGCATACCCCACCCACATCTGTATTACTATCCCCTGCCAGACAAACTCCTGCATGTGATATCAAACATGTTGTCCAATCCACTTTCAAAAACCAGAGTTCACAAAGTTCTTTGTTTCACTCTCCAACTGCACCTTATCTGCATGCCCCACCTACATCTGTATTAGTCAAACCTCTGCATGTGATATCAAACATCTCTCCCAACCTACTTTCAAAAACCAGAGTTCACAAAGTTCTTTGCTCTTTCTCTTTTTCTCTCTCCAGTTGCACCTG